TTTAAATAATATTGAAATAACAATGAATTATTTTTTTATCCTGGAAGAATTTATTTGAGATGTGTACTCAATTATTGTAATTAACTATTGATTAAATGTGTAACGTAATATAATTATAATTAATTATTTTTATCTTATTTAATACGTCCGAATACTTATTATATACGCGTACGCCTATAGTTTATTGTAACGAATATCAATTTTATTCTAATTTTATTACAATTTTTATTATATTTCGGAAAAAGATGATTAAATTTTTATGGTTGCTTTATGATCATTATTGTGCAAGATATTTTATTTTTGGTGCCTAGAACTATATATTGCATTAATATATCAGTTGGTCAAATTATTTTATAAATGTAATATCTTTTCTAGCAGGTATTTATATATTTAGAAAATTAATCGATTGATTACATTTTATAAATGTAATTCTTCTTTAATAAACTTTACATTTATAAAATAACCATCATCTAACCAATATGTTGATGCAACATGCGATATGTATGTACATTATGCCCATTAATAATTCGAAGAGTCATAGTAGCAGTCTGACTTATCGGCCTGATTTATCCGCAGAGTCGATAAACACACATATGATGCATCATTTGTCTTCATTGTTCATGGAAAAATAAAAAAAGGATAAAATGATACCTTATGCACTTTATGTGTAATTCGGAACGCCGTGAGTCAATAAACGCGCACACATTTCGAAAAAATGTACAACGGAAGAGATTATACATTGGATGGTATTCATATTTATTTCAAGACTGTTGTCTTAATGTTTTAAGATACTAATACAGCCCTCTGATTGGTTCATGACTTCTTAAGACTACTTAAGACGGTCTTGAAGATCTAATTATATAATGAATAAACGGCCATTAACAGTAATAAAGAAAAATAAGAAAAATATTAAATTAGGAGACGAGAATAACATTGATACACGGAATATATTGATACACTTGAAATTACTGTAAAATAATAAACAATAATATTGCAAAATAAAATAGTATTTTAAAATAGTATTTAAAAAACATTATTGTGCATTATATGGTGCAATGTCGAGTTAATATTTCTAAATAAAATCATAATAAAAATTTGCATTAATTATTTTGAATTCTTAAAATGCTTATACAAAAACATTGAAAAATTTTATCATTGTTTTTTCAAGTTTAATTTACAATAAAATAATAACAAATGAAGTTGAATTTGATCACTTAAACAATAAAACTGTTATTATTCAAGAAAAATAGAATATAAGCACAACTTTATATATGCATATAATTTGTTTAAAGTATAAATGTTAAGACATTTGTAAAAATGCGGATAATATATCTTTAAAAATTGCTTGCTATAGTCACACTAGCATTACAAGAGATAGAAAACAAAATACAATCAACGATTTATTTGTTTCAATCTCTTTTATGAATTAATTCTCGTGTAATTATAGCACGCAATTTGGATATCGTTCATCGTGGCCGCATTGTGGAAAATACGAAGCCTGTTCTTTTTAATTGAACTTTTGCATCAGTTCATTTTTTCCTTTTCAAGAGGAAAAAAGAAGAAGAAGAAGGTGCAAAAGTGAACTGGTGCAAAAGTTCAACCAAAAAGAATAGGTTCTTTCAGAGTAAAAAGGAGATCAATCTTTCATATAGCCGGTCACAAGAAAGTTCGGCTAACGCAGCGCGGCAGCGCATGTTCACATCTGTTCTGCTCACATCGTAGTGTTGTATTGTTTTGTCGTGACAGATATCCTAACCTGAGTAATCGTCAACTTTAACGATTAACTTTTCGGTTCGCGGAGCAAACGACGCTTTTTTTTACCAGATTAAAATCGTACCAAGTAAGCTTAATTCATTGATTTTTGAAGGATAAACTGGGATTGGATTGTGTATCTTGAAATGAGACGAAATTACAAAAGTGATCAAATTCACTAGAACACTTATAATTTCATTGGTCAATACCTAGTAAATTTACTCACTTTTGTAATTTTCACTCTATTTTAAAGCACAATCTCGATCTCCTCTGAATAATTACTGCTTATTTTAATAGCACGTGAAATTGTACCTTTATGGAAACAGAAGAACTCTGTAGTATCAATATTTCTCCATTAGTGGTGAATCCGTTTGCTATACAATGGTCACCTGATAATCACATTTCGATAATTACGGAAAAGGGTGTACACGTGCTCGTAAGTTGTTTTTTCATCATTTTTTCACATCACAAAAAAGTTAAAATCTTCCTCGACATTGTATTTATATCTAAAGAGAAACTGAGCAATAAGTAGATCTCGCAATTTAAGCGAATTTGATTTATCATATTTATATTGTGATATTTTTTATGTCTACATATAAAATTGATTCTACAATGAGTCGGTAGTCGGAAATCTAAACGGGTTTTGCAATGAGTCGGTACTAGGAAGTCCTGAGCCTAATTTTCTTACCTTTAAGTCTTAGCTGTAAGTCTTAAATTATAATAAATTGACTAATCATAATCGATTATTTTTGTCATATTTGATTGTGATTGATTAATTTCTTATAATTTGGCTTAAAATTGAGATAATTTATTTATATAGAAAATCCATTGCTTAAATAATGATTTATTATAGAAAGTCCATTGGTTGTATAAGTTAACTGTTGGTTAACTTTACTGATTCACTAATAAGACTTAAGACTACCGACTCATTGTAAATTAGTATAATATGGAATTGTCTAAATACAACTTTATAACTTAACAACCTAACTTGGATCCAATATTGTTTTACAGGAGTTACAACCTTCGCCTATGTCGCCGAATCCATTTTTCAAGTTTTCCCGTTCTTTCATATATCATTCAGACACTTTGCCAGCATATGCATTTAAAAGCGAGGTAGATTCCTCAATATGGGATATGATACGTGAAGAGATTTATTCACTTCTTATGGATGATGTTATTACGCCAAAATTAGATGGAGTAATTGACAAGTTTCCTAAAACAATAAAAGTATCATGGTCCCCTAAAAATTTAATCTCTCCTAGTCAGTGCATATTAGCGATATTAAACTCAGCAGGTGCAGTTGAATTGTTGCATAAAGTTTCTAATAATTGGTATTCCATATGTGATATTTTCTCCCTTCGGCTAAAAATTATAGAAGATGAAATCAAAACTGGTCTGAATAAATCCAATTTTCATGAGAATCAGAGTGCAAGGATAGTTGAGAGCATAAAGAAATTACAAGCTTGCTCTATGACATGGAGCAAACTTTTCAAAACAAAAGATACTTCCTTTGCATATTTTTCTGTAGCCTATTGTAATGGCGATATAGTGATTTGGAAGATTCCCAAAATATCAGATTTTACGAAAAGCTTACAGCCTATATTTTTCGGATTAATACATTTAGATCATGTATCAAAAGTTAACATATTATGTTGGATCACTATTAAGGCCAACGAACATCTGATTGCTGTTGGATATTTTGATGGTACAATATGTGGTATAAAGTTAGCAGATAAGGATAACAGTCTACAAATATCACTTGTACAAAAATATGTTGATTCTGATTGTATAGCAGTTAATTATTTATATATAATTCCTCAAGATGAATTAAATATAAAGATTCTTGCTATTAAAGGTTCTTTTGTCTTGGTATTATACATAAATACGACAGGAGAATTGAAAAATATGCGATACTTGCATGTACAAGGATTTACCATTACAGGTAAAGATTTTTGAGAATTATATTGCAATCAAATTTTACAAATATATATTTTGTTTTTTTTCTATATTTATGTTACATATTTTTCTGTATTTATGTTTTTTTATTAATCTTGGAAATATGTTACAATGTAAATTATTTATTGTTATATATTTAATTATTTTTTCAGGTGTAGTTCCTATTATTGCTCAGCAATTCTTAATCTCTACACAGGACAGTCATATTTTCATTATTAATATAGCAAATGATTTAGTTAGTATCAATATTAAAAGTCATCTACCACAGGCACGTGTTCAATATTTTGGACTTACTCATTCTCCAAATAAAGTAATATTTGTAAATTTAACTAGTCCAAATATGGTGTATGATCATCTGGTGACAAGAGAACCAAGTATAATGCATATATTCACTTTAAAAAGCAAATTTTGTGATCCAGTATCTATTATTAATGATAATACAAATCTCGGAAATATCTGGGATTGTATGGAAATCTTCAGACTGAAAGCTATCAAGGCAAAAGATCCATGTACGATATTTCGCCCAATGTCAAAGAATCTTGAATCATTATCACTCTACCAACTGCAAGTATCAATGTGGATGACAGTAATAATGAATGTGTGCACAACAAAGAAGCCAATACCAAATATGGATCACATAAGAGAAAGTAAGATAACGGAAGCGCTTCCATTAATTTTTCTACATTCCGCTTGTACATATCTGGAAAAGTTAATGAAGAAGAGTGTATTATCGGAGGATCAGATATTTTCAGTGTTTTTATTAAGACGATATCTGGAAATATACAAAGGCATACCATCAGTCGAGGATTCAAAGAATAAAAATACAAATCAGCGTATTCAAGAAATATTAAACATGACTACGTTCTATTCGAACCAAATTGAAAAGTGTAATCTATGTGGTGAAAGGATAGATGGAATGTGGCATGTCAGAGCGTGTCCACACGGTCACAAGCTACCTAGATGTTGCATAACATTATTGCAGATAACGTTGTTGGAGTACCGTGTCTGTCCGATATGCGGCCAAATCTTTCATCCATGCTTAGAAGATATATACGAGGAACCGCAATGTCAGTTCTGCGATGTACCTATTTTACGTAATTCGTATGATTTCGATGCAGAAAATTCAGAACTGTATGGAAGGAATTTGTCACTTCCACGAATTGCTGACATAACAATTGAATCAAGAGATCCAGAATCCGAAGAACCACCCAATAAACAAAAACAAAGTAAATGGAATACTTCACGGACATATTCTGTAATTGTGAATGATGACGATAACAAATCAGATAGAATTATGGAGAAATGGGAGAAATTTTAATTTGTGATATTTGATATTAATTTAATATACACATATATAATTATACTTTGCATTTGTATACACAGTTATAATTAATTAGATTTTGTAGTAAGTGTATTATTCCAGTTCCAAAATTATAATTTTAATAATTAAAATTCTAATTTTGGACCTGAAAGAGCAAATACTGTTGAATTTTACTGACTTATAAAGAGTTATGAAAGATTTTGATATTATACACAAGTATACATATACATTATTATTTAGCTATATTATCATATAGTATTAAACTTATTTAAGAATATAATTTTTGGGATATCTTAAAAGTTGTGGGAAGTTATTTACTTCCGTGCGTGGAATATGATTTAGTTTTACAGGGACAGTTCTTAGCTGTTTGATTTGATTACTAATATTTTTCAACATATCTTCAGGTATCTTTTCATCTGGAAATATATGTAATCTTTGCATAGTATGCCTTCGTAGTAAGGTCTTCGGTAATGCCCTGTATACAGCTTTTTCTACAATCTGTTCCAATCATACACATGTATATAGTTATATTATGAAATAGCTAATAATATTTTAAATTGTTATACATTTGGAAATCATGGGTAAATTAGTTACCAAAGTTGGATCCTTATGATGTAATTCCCATGCAAGAGTCCAAGTGGCACCTCCATGATATGTAGTATGATGAAAGTATACACGTTTTCGCCACTCGTCTCCGCATAAGGCAATTTCCTTGCTGTTTATTACTACTACATGATCACCGCAATTGTCTACAGAAAAATTATTAAGTATATTAAGTATATTAACAGTTATAAGGACATTTTTTTCTTTTTTATTGTGGTTTTTTTCAAAAATTTATGCATAATTATCAATTTTATTTTAATTTTTATTTAATTCCTTTAAAAGTATTTTTTTTGCATCTTATTCTGTACATGAAGATTTTTATTAAAAAATTGATGGTTTATGAAATATTTCTTCATATATCTATTTTATATAAAAATATGTCAGAAAAAAATAAATCTTTTGAAGTAAATATGATTCCATTGATTTCTTTGAAAATATTTTGTCATTACTCATTCCCTTTTGAATTATCTTTGTATAAATCATTTTCTTTTTCAAAAGGGCAAAAATTTTTGAGGAATGATAAATTTAAATTTCTTGATTCAAAATAAATAAATACCTAAACTATATATAAAAATTCCAAAATATTAAGAAAAAAAACTAATGGATACTAATACTCACTTAGTGGATGATATATTGGCTTGTACGTTCCCAGAAGATAATGTTTTATTATTTCAGCACTCTTATATGGATCTTGCCATTTTGCATCGTAAACATGCCAAATACGGGCAAATGTACCCCAATGCTGAAAATAAGTCAAAAACAATTGTAAATTAATTAGATTTTTGAGACAAAAATAATGAAGCACATTTGTGACAAATCTATCTACAAATTATAAGTAACAAATGTAAAGATTGAAATATTATTATATGGAATATCACTAAGACACAAACCTGTCCTTTTCGCGCGAGTGACATGATAACTTATTAAGAGTAAGCGTTTTTTTATTCACTTTTATAAAACTATTATTGAAAGTTATCTCGAGGTTATGGACGCAAATAGACTGATATCAGAGAGAAACTTGAGAAAGAACATGATGGCCCAAAACTTGTCGCAAATGCTGCCGCGCACTACCGCTCTCTGAAGAAGTGGATGTTAACTACACAACAATATCCATCTTTTTGCGATGCTCCTGATGGAAATAGAT